ATATCAACTCATGCCAATTGTTAATCGCCGATATAGGTGAGGTGTGGAGAATGGAGTTTAACGTCGCGTTCGAGATTATTGTACGTTAGCGAGTGTGTGCGCGTGCGTGCGTGCGTGCGTGTCAGTCTGAACTAGTCCGGACAACAAGACTAGTCTGAGACATCATGTCTAAGTTTAACACACATACCCCACTCAGACACAAATTACTGTATAGTGTTGTAAATAACTGGTTAACAAGTTATGTACCTTTTGCAGTTTTATTACTGGGGTTAAAAATAAAGACCCTTCACTGTCAGTGAGGATTAATCTTGGAAAAATATGATCATTATATAACTACACGGATCTTCCTGGTTTCAATAAAAAAATCATTGTAGCTTTTTTATGCATCCTAATCAGTCACATGTCAAAAGCAGTGGCAACCCAATGCAGAACATCGATTTATGCCCGATAAATTCTTTTGATGTTTTACTATTCATAATGAATAATTGAGAAAGATTTCACTTCCTCTTTAATATTAATGCCCAGCAACAATGGTGATTATGTGTACATAATGATGATTGTGTCTCCATAAAGTGTATGTCTATAATGGTGATTGTATGCCCACAGTGGTGATTGTGTGTCCATAGTGGTGATTGTGTGTCCATAGTGGTGATTGTGGGGAATCGAACTAGGATCTTCGACGTGACGAAGTGCTCTGTCGGTAGAACAATGTAATGCATTCGAAACAAAACTTCTAGAAAATTATTATCATCGAAACTCCACTCGTGTCCACAACTGCCAAAAGAGTAATTTTAATACGAACAATAAAAGAGACAGAGCTTTAGCCGAGACGTATTTTCTTAACGATAGTCTTACTTGTGTGATTATGTAGATGTACTAATTAGTCTAAATCCCTCTTATTCACAAGAATAAACATTTTATTACATGAACCTTTTTAGGGTCGTGTTTTCCCAGATCGTGGTCGAAACAATCTTAATTCTACATCTAACTATAGAGATATAACATTTTTGAGTGTTTTCGGTTAAATAATTTATATTTCAGTTTTGAATGCTTAATTAAAATTTTAGTGTGCTGCATATGACAATGTTTCGGAATCGCATGCCGTTTTCCGGCAGGGTTATCTTCAGCTATTGACCATGTTTCCATATTACAGTCTGTTGTTGGTCGTCTCTTCGGGAAAAAGAAAGACAAATTATATGTTTTACTGTATTTTGCTAAGGCTTTCGATTTAGTTATGGTCAGTCCAACACAAGGGAGTTTCGCCAAAATTGTTATGTTGTACCAAGTCTATTTATAAAATTGTAAAATCGTGCGATAAATTTAATACTTAAATTTCAGATATGTTTGACTGTAACGTGGGAGTTTGTCAGGGATGTGTCTTAAGCCCCTTGCTGTTTTCATGTTATCCTGGCATCCAGTTGCATCTAGACATGACTCATTTATTCTTACTCTTGCTTGCGGGTGACGTTCTTTTATCAGACACTATAAGAGGGTTACAAAAACGAATTAACGTTTCACAACAGTATTGTCATGAATATGATCTAAACGTAAATCTAGATAAAAGTTGTGGTTTGTAAGAACGGTGGTATCCTTTTTAGGCGTGAGAAATTTTGGGGGCAATCGCATTGACTGTCTTTCATCTTACATGTATTTGGGTATATTATTTTCTAGGAACTTAACCTGGCATAAGCACTTTACGAATTCTTCTTTGTAATCTAGAATAGCGTTGTGTGGTAATACATATCTGTCGAAACTTAGACCTTGACATACGATGTTTTCTTTAACGTTTTAGACCATAGCTCCTTTGTTATAAACGTGGTCTAACCAACGTCATTTTCAGTTAGACCACGGACGGAACTACTTTTTCCAAGGAAAGTAGCTCCAGTCATGAAGCTTGAAGCTTAATAACCATATCACGTGACGTTGATGTTGAACTCCACCTTGACAGGTCGAGAACCTCCGACATCCATCGCCGTATACTTTGCCGTTTCTGAGGATGGCGAAGTTGCAGTACGTGCAATTGTACGCTTGCGCAGACCCTGTACAATCTTGCTTACGCCGCCCTCCTGCTCGTCACTTGTCCTCTTGTATGACCTGATAGCAAAACGGACTAGTCATCGCAGTAACGCTATCAACTGCTCGTCAACTCCTGACTGGTAGTGGCGTGTAGCACACGTAGCACGCAAAGAGTGGTTAGTGTAAAAACCTACAAAATAAACAGATTTCTTTTATTGTAGGTTAGAGGGATTACTTAGTAAACAAAACGTTTAAAAAGTAAGTAATTGATGAATCCGATGACGCGCTTGATTTGGTAATCAAATATGACGCCACAATCTAAAATAAACTTTCTCCAGAATCTATTCAGTTGATGTTTATGGTCTCAAATGATTTCCGTTGCAATAAGAAAACGACTTTATGATATAAACAGAATCTTGCCGTCATCACGCTCATGTCACTGATCTATTATACTGTAAAAATGATTTAAGCAAATCCACAAACATTTGAAAATTTGACATTTTGATTTACGGTTTGGAAACTATTACTGAAACATTATTTTACAATGTACTCACCAGTAAATCCAGCAGCGGTACACAATCGACTCACTGTCTTCGCTAGAGTATTTTGACCAATGGGACTGCAGGAGTACCACGTTTCCCGCCGGGGCTTCACTAATGGACGCAAGTAGAAGGCATCTGGGGTGTCAGAAGGTCGTAGACTCAAGTATTTTCGGTACAACCTCACAATACACTTGTTAGGGTCAGTACTAGTGTATGCAGTAACACACTTCGGTGGAACTCCTACATTTTTCAGTCCTCGTTGATTACATTTACTGATGCATTCGGTGTAACGTAAATAATCTCCTTGATCATTCGATCCAAATTCGAAATGGTGGACTCTCAACATTCTATGTTCACAGCCCGACCGCAGTGCAAAATTTCATCCAACCAAAAAACTATCGTATCCAAGAGTGTTTGAGGGCATGTTGATCCGAGAAATCCCTTTTCCCACAGAATCTGTTCCTGTTGCACGGTAATGACGCTAGCTTGGCGTGAGCGCAATGCCATTCCCTTGCTTGCCCTGTCTCTCATAACATTGTCCAATGTGACTCGAACCTCCGTATACTCTGTTTCGGAAAGAAACTGGACATCACGATTGTTGTTGTTCAATTGTATTTGTATGAGTAAAACAAGTTGACGAAGAGTCATTGGTGGATAATCCGTACCATCCTGCTTCTGAACCTCGAGGATAAACCGACACATACAATAATTCAGTTCGTCGTCATTCAAATCCAATAGTTTATTGGTAATCAGACAAAGCCGCTTACCCGATGTATCGCCTCAGAGAATTTTTGAATTCCTTGAACAGTGCCATTCTTCGAACAGTCGACATGCCCAGTCGATATTCTTGCGAGTTTTTTCCGGTACGAATTTCTCTTTCATTTCATTCACAACATCGTCGGATTTTGGCTCGGCAAATCTGTCAGAAGTACTTTCACCCTCAAACCTTTGAGAAGCAGTGTATAAAATTTCGACTTCGCTCGAGGAGAAGTCAGGTGATTTATCCGTTTTGAGCATATCGGTCTCAAAATCACTGATATCAGGGGCAAGTAAATAGATTCCTTTGCAATTAATTCCGAATCCTCCATTTTCATAAACTTAGTTTGTGAACAGAGAATCTCTTCGTCGGAACTACTCATGTTGCTGCTTCCAAGGCAAATGGCTTCCCCAGCTGACCATGTGGTTTCAAACTGCGCATGTCTTCGCCGAGACACTGCACGTGTAGCGTGTGATTCCCATGCGCACAACATTTGCGGGCTTCATAACTCTTCTGCACAGAGACAGTTTCAACTTTTTTGACACAATATAGTTCGCGAGGAAATTATAAAATAAAGCATTAGTTCATTAAATAACTCGTGAAATGTAATTATTATTATTTGGCAATGGTCTAAGTAAGTTAGACCATTCGGACCTTGTTGTCTAATTGTTGAAATGGTTAGTTAGACAACAGGTCCTCATGATCTAACTATTACTTAGATATTAAAGTGATGTAAATTTTATTGTATGGTGCTGAAATATAAGGCGTTATATTTTCTTCGTGTGAAGTCGTCAACTCCAAAATACGTTGTTCGTGGTGCGTGTGGGAGATACCCTGTGTATAGCTATGCCTACAAGCGTTGTTTAAATATTGGTATAAATTATTATCCAATGCAAACTCACGGCCACCGAAGTGCTATAATATGATATTGTTAGATATGAGTCATGGTACAAGCAATTGGGTTTCTAAGTTAAGAAATGTAATATAGTTAAAATGGGATTTGGCTATTTTTTGAATAATCAGTGTATTGTAGTATTTAATCATTAATCCTTAAATTTCGTGTAGCTTTAGCTAAGTTAAGATGTAGTTCTCACCAATTAAAAATCGAGACTGGCAAATATGCAAATGTTCCAAGAAACGAAAGGGTTTGCATTGTTTGTAAAAAAGGTATTGTTGAGGATGAGTATCATTTCTTGTTTGTATGCACGGTGTATGGCGAATTGCGTGAACAGTACATTCCTTAAACTACTATGTATTCCCCACATTACACAAATTCAATGTCTTGATGTCAAGTGATAAATTTAATAACAAGAAATTTGTCTATGTATATTTGAAAGTCTATCGAATTAAGGACAAAACTACTGATGTAAATTTCAATTACAATAATGGCTGATGTACAACAGCTGTATCATGGGCCCATAGCCCACGTGACCGTAAACCTGCTGAATAAATAACAATGATACAACGGTTTTTGAAATGGAAAAGCTTACTCATGACGATTGTTTTTTGTAACGACAACACACTACCACTATAAAAAAAACTAACCAACCGTCAGTCAGGGGGAATGTAAACAGGGCAGTATTCTGGTGGGCAATGATTTATTACGTAAGAGCCAATCGTTTCTCGTCTCCGTGTGCACCAGGAAGTCTAGAAAAGTGAATCATTATCAGCACGGACGGGTTATTTTCGACAATGCTTTAATGGTGTGTTTTCCCAAAGTGGATCACGTTTCACCTTGTTGCCTTTCTATTGACATAACAAAAATTGGATATTTGTAAGATGCTGCCTCTGATATAAATACGCCATCAATCTGACAGCCTTATCAGTGCGACCAGAAACAGACACTGTGGACCACTACATCTAAATTATCAATGTGAGTATCAGATTAGCCATGTACTAATTGTATGCATTGTTACGTACAATATTTTGTTTCATGACATTCGTTCGCACATTATTACATATTGGTTACATACAACATTGTGTTTCAGAACACTCGTGCACACACTGTAACGTATTGGTTGCATACAACATTGTGTCTCAGAACACTCATGCGCACATTGTAACGTATTGGTTGCATACAACATTGTGTTTCAGAATACTCGTGCGCACATTGTAACGTATTGGTTGCATACAACATTGTGTTTCAGAACACACAATATTCAAAGCTTTATTGATCTTCTCAAAGCTTACCCGTTGTGACATCTTTTGGAAATCGCATCATGTGAAAAGTTATATTGACTGCAATGAAAGCCTGTCAGCATACTAAATGTTAGCATGGTCAAGGCTGATCACGTTATTGAAGCATAAAAATGTTGTAGATCCCTTACAATAAATTACATCTGTACAAATATTGACCTAACAGAACACTCGTGCACACACACTCGTGCACACATTGTAATGCATTGGCCACAGACTATATTTGGTTTCAGATCACACGTGTGCACATTGTAATGCATTGATCACATGCATATTGGGTTTCCGAACACACCTGGGCACTTTGTAACGCATTTGTTACAAAACGTAGTGAACACAGATACAGTTACGTGTCTATATTCAGAGGTTCGGGACAATTTGTGAAAAATGAAAGCAAATGTCATCTGAAGTTTACCGAGAAAACAATATGTAAAATGCTGGACTTTCTCATTGTTAACATGTACGTTAAATTAGGGGGTAAGACATTTAGGCAAGAAGTAGGCATCCCCATGGGCACCAACTGTGCTCCCCTTATTGCGGATCTGTTTTTTTCTATTCATATGAATCGGAATTTCTGTTCTGATTGGCAAAGTCCAAAGAGGGTGATTTGGTCAAGAAGATTAACTTAAGCTTCAGGTATATCGATAATCTGATATCGTTCAATAATAATAAATAGCCCATTCCCTTCCACTGATTTACCCACCTGAACAAGACCAGTGAGACCGCCTCATCTGTTTTATATTTAGATCTATGCATAAAGATTCATAGCGACTAAACACTCTCCAAAAGACTGTATGACAAGAGGGATGGCTTCAACTCTCCAATGGTCACCATTTCCCTTCATGTCGGGTAATATTCCTGCAGCTCCAGCCTTTGGTGTTTACATTTTACAACTTTTGAGCATGCTCTTTCTACTAAGATTTCAAAGAGTGTCATACGACTCGCGTTCAGAAGTTGTTTGATCATAGTTACAACATTCAAGGCCTCAGTAAAGTTTTCAAAAGGTTTTATGGTAGAAATGTGGAGGACATTTCCAGTGAAAATGATGTCCGATGCAATTCCCTATTTTGACTTGTACCATATGTTGCCGTGTTTTTGCAGGTGAAAGATTTACTTGCCTATGCATGTGTGACGGTTGTCATGGGGTGGGGCCGGACACGCTCACCTTTTCGCGAACACCTAGGGTATCATTACTATTCGATAGTAATTCATAAACACATGCGCATGATACAGTCGGAATCATAAATCTATTTCTATTGGATATAGAAAGGGTTTTGTCGCTCTATTTACATACAATATTGGGTTTTAGAACACATGTGTTCACACTGTAACGCATTGGTCACATACTGTATTGGGTTTCAGAACACACCTGGGCACATTGTAACGCATTGGTCACATACTGTATTGGGTTTCAGAACACACCTGGGCACACTGTAACGCATTGGTCACGTACTGTATTGGGTTTCAGAAAACACCTGGGCACATTGTAACGCATTGGTCACATACTGTATGGGGTTTCAGAACACACCTGGGCACATTGTAACGCATTGGTCACATACTGTATTGGGTTTCAGAACACACCTGGGCACATTGTAACGCATTGGTCACATACTGTATGGGGTTTCAGAACACACCTGGGCACATTGTAACGCATTGGTCACATACTATATTGGGTTTCAGAACACACCTGGGCACATTGTAACGCATTGGTCACATACTATATTGGGTTTCAGAACACACCTGGGCACACTGTAACGCATTGGTCACATACTGTATTGGGTTTCAGAACACACCTGGGCACACTGTAACGCATTGGTCACATACTGTATTGGGTTTCAAAACACACCTGGGCACATTGTAACGCATTGGTCACATACTGTATTGGGTTTCAGAACACACCTGGGCACATTGTAACGCATTGGTCACATACTGTATTGGGTTTCAGAACACACCTGGGCACACTGTAACGCATTGGTCACATACTGTATTGGGTTTCAGAACACACCTGGGCACACTGTAACGCATTGGTCACATACTATATTGGGTTTCAGAACACACCTGGGCACATTGTAACGCATTGGTCACATACTATATTGGGTTTCAGAACACACCTGGGCACATTGTAACGCATTGGTCACATACTATATTGGGTTTCAGAACACACCTGGGCACATTGTAACGCATTGGTCACATACTGTATTGGGTTTCAGAACACACCTGGGCACATTGTAACGCATTGGTCACATACTATATTGGGTTTCAGAACACACCTGGGCACATTGTAACGCATTGGTCACATACTGTATTGGGTTTCAGAACACACCTGGGCACATTGTAACGCATTGGTCACATACTATATTGGGTATCTGAACTCTTATCCACGCTTGCTGGGGCCTAAGGAACAGTTGTAATTTTCTTAGGAGCTTGGGTTTTGTTTGAAACAGAATACAGTATCAGTCATCACTTCAAGATAATCAATATTTTCCGCGTTTTGGGAACCCACATTCAACAAACAATTTCTTTTTAATGAAATTCTGTGAGTGGCGGGTGCTACTGGTAGGACAGGATATGCTTACCCTATTCACCAGCACCTGGTGTCATCACTAATTTTCAGTGATCCATTCATATAATTTTCACCTCTATTTTGCCTTTTATGTTCTATGGAATCAGTTTCGGAAACTGCTTATATAATTATTCTCTGGCATTGACGTTTTATATTTACGAACCACCCAGAATGTCTAGTGAACGACTTTTTTGTTAATTAAAAGAGAAATTATGTTGTTTTTGACAGAATGCCCGAATATAAAAAAGCAAGCCTCTAAACTGTAAATTAGGTCATGATGAAACAGATGGTTTGATACCATTTCTCTGTAGTCGCCAAAGTATGAACACAATCGCTGACGTCAGTGGGATACCTCGGTATTTCAAGATTGGACTTTAAAGTTTGTCCGTTTTTTTCGCTGATGTCATGATTGGTGTGTGATACCTCTGTAACCTGGTGGGCGGGTTTTATCTGTTTATCCACAGTATATGGGAACAGCCCTCTTTTGTAAATATAAGGAAAGTACTGGTGGAGAGCGACCTCCCTCAACACACTCAGTAGGTGAGGGTAGAATTAAGACGGTGCTAGGTTCTACGCTCTGGTCCCTTTCCAGTCTTGTGGGTGCGTGAGTATAGGGCGCGTCGCGTTTAGCAATATTTCGGCAATTTAACCAAAATGGCTTCAAATATTCGGCAATAGAAACGCTGAACTAAAGAACGCTTTAACCACTAGACTACCCGTCTGTTCCTTCCATCCAAGAATCAGCGCAGTGTTACGTGACTCGGTTAAAACTGGGAACTTGTCTTTCTGTAAGTGAAGTCTCCTTAACTACATGAGTGAGTGAGTGAGTATGGTTTTACGCCGCTTTAAGCAATATTCCAGCAATATCACGGCGGGGGAAACCAGAAAGGGGCTTGACACATTGTACCCATGTCGGGAATCGAACCCGGGTCTTCGGCGTGACGAGCGAACGCTTTAACCACTGGGCTACCCGACCGCCCCTCATAACTGCATGATGATTGTCAATTGGCAAAAGCCTGTATCATTAACAAAGTTTCTTTTGACAGTTTTCTGGAGGTTATCTTCATCTCCGTGTGAATATTACACAAATTACTAGGGCTGTTACGATTCACTCGCGTATTCGGTGAATCGAACCGTAACCATTCATGAATTGAATTCGTTATTCATGGCCACTAGAATCGAATATTTATGAACATGCTATCATGTATATTTACATACCCTGTACCTAAAAATACCCATAACAACATATTATATGCATAGATTTCTTTCAATGACAACACTCTAATAATATTTAATTTGACAGTTATGTGGTCACTGGTCATTGTCGCATTTGAGCAGATACTAGTACCTGGATAAGTGCAGTATATAAATGTATAATTTATTAATAATTAACAAAACATGTCAAATAAATTATGTTGTTTTTGTTTCACTGAATATAATAAATAATACATAAACTGCTGACTTGATGTAATTGTGAATTAATATTCGTATTCGTTACCCTATATTCGTGATATGAATCGTATTCGCCTCATAGTGTATTCGTTGCAGCCCTACAAATTACTCTTGGTAATGTCATCATCAGAATACAAGGACCAGAGGACGCCTACCCCTTCAATGATGGTTTTGTGTCTTCGGGTTTTGTTTCAGCATTACGATCACGCCAACAGTAATCAATTGTTTTATTTAACTCAAAGTTCATTTTTGACATGTTTATGTCATTTCACCTCTTTATGAAAGCCCTCTGCAGATACAATTCAGTCGAATTTTTTTTCAGAAAGATCGGCGAACTTTGTATTGCCACTCGCAGACGCCATATTGTTTTCTAGTAGACGAAATTGGTATTTAACACACTGTGGTCAATAGTGGTCACGTAACAAGTCAATATTATCAATGTATATATTTATCAAGTAATGCATCAATGTCATGATTTGACCGAACCTTTACAGGTCAGTTTTCTATTGTCATTTCAACATTGCAATGTATTGTTTCGTCACATAGTGTGAGTAACCAATGAAATGCAGAGATTCTTAATAAAAGTACGATACAAATATTTACGCATGTCTAGGTCCAAGGGTCCTTGTTTTCGAATATTATCCTCGTCAAGAGTAATCGTTCGACTTTTTATACCGAAATTCACTTTAAAATTTACGAAGCCTTTAAATCGCCCTCTGTTTCATTACGGTAACATCGCTCACAACCGTGAAATGCTAGCTCCCTGACGCCATCTTGTTTTCTCGCTGACGAGTCAATATTCATCACGTGAAAGGTCAATACTGATAATGTGACGATTCAATATTCGAGGTCAGTGTCAGTTACATGATTTAGGGGTCAACATTGAAATGTATTGTTTCGTCACGTGGTACGGATAAACCAATGGAATTGCAATATTCTTAACATAGGCATAACTGAACAACGTGTTTGCTGTTACATTGGGCACAAAGTATTTCAATGCCAACTTCATCTATGATTATAGGGTTGAAGTATTTCATCTTGGGTCCAGTTGGCATTCCGGGTTAGAATAAGCCTCAGCACCTAAGATGGTCGTAAGAGAAGACCAAGTGGATCGGTTGCTCAATCTTGACGACTTGATGGATTGCGTGTCATTGTACACGACAGTATTAATCACTGTTTTGTATTGTCCAGTCTCGATTATATATAAGCCGCCGTCATATAACTTGGATATTGTTGGGTGCGGCGTAAAACAATGGACAATATATATCGCTGAGAAAAGCGTGATCTTTGACGTAGCAGTGAGTGAACGTTTGATAAAAAGTAGAAAATATATCTTAGCTCACAGGGACAGGTCGTTTGACTATCCGTGAATGAATGGTCGCCAAAGTTTCCGGGCAGAAGTGGCGTGGAAGCGATAGTGTAAATAACATTTTTTTTAAATTTTATTACCGGTTGCCCCAACGTGAAAATTGTCAACTTACCTACTGTTATTATCATATATTTATAGAGGCACTGCATCAGAGTTAGAGTACATCTGGGCCTTGGTTAAGAAAATGTCTACCATCTAACGTGCGTGCGTGCGTGCGCGTGCGTGCGTGCGTGCGTGCGCGTGCGTGCGTGTGTGCGTGCGCGTGTGCGTGCGTGCGTGCGAGCGCGTGTGCGTGCGTGTGTACGATGCGGGGTAGGGGACGGAGAGAGTCTAAAACTTGAAATTTTTCGTTGCCAAATTACAACAGTTGTTTTATGGATTTGATTACTTCCGAACTGTTGCAATGACTTCGTGGATATTTTATTGCAAAATAGGTCCTCAGCAGCCCGTGGTTGTAGAACTAGACTAAAGAAGCTAACAGTTACGAAGAGTGACCGGGCTGACTGTGTACTATTGCATGTCGTGGATAGTTGTTCATGCTATCAACCCCTGGTCTGTTGGCCATGCCGCCGTGATATTCCTGGATGTATACTACGAGTTATATAAGATTCACTCAATCACTCCGTTGTAACGCCGTAACTGTTCAATTGCCTATGAAAATATACTAAATTAACTGTATATCCGGATCATTTGGACCGTCTACCATTTGAACCATGCACGAAACGTTAGGGTATTCGTAACAATGTCACATAAACGAAACGGTCCAAAGAAAGTAGGTGGGTGTTGGGATTAACCCCGTTTGACCTGTGTAGTGATATCACGGTGTGTCAGTTTGGTGCCACGGGCACGTTTATGGTGCTGACAAACCTATAAACACATCAGGACGAACCGGGATTAGAACCCCGACCACAGGTTCCTGGCAAGCCTAAGGGACGCAACTCAGCGCAACCATCTGCGGCACCTTCGACAAATGGGTCACCCGTGCCCCTATATTCATTTGAAGCTATACCGACGAATCAAACTTTATAAACTTATTACAACTGGTGCGAAACGGGTACCCATATGTATGATCTGCTCTTCCGTTACCGGGGTGCACGGGTGGCCCAGTCGTCTAAGGCGCCGTGATTCGCTGTGCAGAGTTGCGTCCCTTGGGCACGCCAGAAACCTTTGATTGTGGGTTCGAATCCCGGTTTGCCCCGATCATGTTTCTAGGTTTGTCAGCACTATACCCGTGCTCGTGGGTTTCACCGAAGTGGTAAACGACTGAGACCTGCATCATTTCGGGCTTTCCTCCTACATTAAGCTGACACGCCGTGATATAACTGAAATAATGTTAAAAGTTGCGTTAAACCATACTCACTCACTCTTCCGTTACCATCCGCCGCGATGAAGGTCAAGATCGCTAAACGGGTCGTAATTCATAACATTTTTTTCTTATACCACCACCAATAAATTAAGAAACAGAATATGTGAGTTTATCATGTTGTTTAATTGAGTATCTTCAATTTTCCAGAATCCAGTGACTCAGCGTGTTGTATGTTTTGGTAGCCTGGACAAGTCCCCACGTTATGTCCGCCGCAGGTTATCTGAGCGCAGAACTCTGCTCCTCAGTGCTGTGTTGCCTGAGGAAGAGGCAAAGAATCCCCTCGTCAAGAACTGAGCAAGAGTCTGCAGAATCTACAGGAAAGACGACCGGGAACGGTGTGACGCTGTTGACGTCCACAACGAATCCAGATATCTCTTTCATGACCCAGAAGTCCTATTTTCCGAACGACGTATCAAAAACGAACCCTATGACATCTTTGACAAATAACGGGCCCCCAAAGTGTCCTGTGATGAATCATGGACCAACAGCAAACGAAGTGACCTCTCTGAGGAACTACCTGGATGGAACCGTTGCCGTGGATACGCTGCATGAGAAGCAGCGTCAGGTGTGTAACTGGTTGTAATACTGTCAGTATCATGTAGCCGTAATGAACTAGTTGTAATATTGTCAGTATCATGTAGCCGTAATGAACTAGTTGTAATACTGTCAGTATCATGTAGCCGTAATGAACTAGTTGTAATACTGTCAGTATCATGTAGCCGTAATGAACTAGTTGTGATACTGTCAGTATCATGTAGTCGTAATGAACTAGTTGTAATACTGTCAGCATCATGTAGTCTTAATTAACTAGTCGTAATACTGTCAGTATCATGTAGCCGTAATGATCTTGGTGTGATACTGTCAGTATCATGTAGTCGTAATCAACTAGTTGTAATACTGTCAGTATCATGTAGTCGTAATCAACTAGTTGAAATACTGTCAGTATCATGTAGCCGTAATCAACTAGTTGTAATATTGTCAGTATCATGTAGCCGTAATGAACTAGTTGTAATACTGTCAGTATCATGTAGTCGTAATGAACAAGTTGTAATACTGTCAGTATCATGTAGTCGTAATGGACTAGTATAAATACTGTCAGTATCATGTATTCGTAATGAACTGGTTGTAATACTGTCAGTATCATGTAGTCGTAATGAACTAGTTGTGATACTGTCAGTATCATGTAGCCGTAATGAACTAGTTGTAATACTGTCAGTATCATGTAGTCGTAATGAACTAGTTGTAATACTGTCAGTATCATGTAGCCGTAATGAACAAGTTGTATGACTGTCAGTATCATGTAGCCGTAATGAACTAGTTGTAATACTGTCAGTATCATGTAGTCGTAATGAACTAGTTGTGATACTGTCAGTATCATGTAGTCGTAATGAACTAGTTGTAATACTGTCAGCATCATGTAGTCTTAATTAACTAGTCGTAATACTGTCAGTATCATGTAGCCGTAATGATCTTGGTGTGATACTGTCAGTATCATGTAGTCGTAATGAACAAGTTGTAATACTGTCAGTATCATGTAGTCGTAATGGACTAGTTTAAATACTGTCAGTATCATGTAGCCGTAATCAACTAGTTGTAATATTGTCAGTATCATGTAGCCGTAATGAACTAGTTGTAATACTGTCAGTATCATGTAGTCGTAATGGACTAGTTTAAATACTGTCAGTATCATGTATTCGTAATGAACTGGTTGTAATACTGTCAGTATCATGTAGTCGTAATGAACTAGTTGTGATACTGTCAGTATCATGTAGCCGTAATGAACTAGTTGTAATACTGTCAGTATCATGTAGTCGTAATGAACTAGTTGTGATACTGTCAGTATCATGTAGCCGTAATGAACTAGTTGTAATACTGTCAGTATCATGTAGTCGTAATGAACTAGTTGTAATACTGTCAGTATCATGTAGCCGTAATGAACAAGTTGTATGACTGTCAGTATCATGTAGCCGTAATGAACTAGTTGTAATACTGTCAGTATCATGTAGTCGTAATGAACTAGTTGTGATACTGTCAGTATCATGTAGTCGTAATGAACTAGTTGTAATACTGTCAGCATCATGTAGTCTTAATTAACTAGTCGTAATACTGTCAGTATCATGTAGCCGTAATGATCTTGGTGTGATACTGTCAGTATCATGTAGTCGTAATGAACAAGTTGTAATACTGTCAGTATCATGTAGTCGTAATGGACTAGTTTAAATACTGTCAGTATCATGTAGCCGTAATCAACTAGTTGTAATATTGTCAGTATCATGTAGCCGTAATGAACTAGTTGTAATACTGTCAGTATCATGTAGTCGTAATGGACTAGTTTAAATACTGTCAGTATCATGTATTCGTAATGAACTGGTTGTAATACTGTCAGTATCATGTAGTCGTAATGAACTAGTTGTGATACTGTCAGTATCATGTAGCCGTAATGAACTAGTTGTAATACTGTCAGTATCATGTAGTCGTAATGAACTAGTTGTAATACTGTCAGTATCATGTAGCCGTAATGAACAAGTTGTATGACTGTCAGTATCATGTAGTCGTAATGAACTAGTTGTAATACTGTCAGTATCATGTAGCCGTAATGAACAAGTTGTATGACTGTCAGTATCATGTAGCCGTAATGAATTAGTTGTAATACTGTCAGTATCATCTAGCCGTAATTAACTAGTTGTAATACTGTCAGTATCATGTCGTCGAAATCAGGTAGTTGTAATACTTTCAGTATCATGTAGTCGTAATGAACTAGTTGTGATACTGTAAGTCTCATGTAGCCGTAATGAACTAGTTGTGATACTGTCAGTATCATGTAGTCGTAATGAACTAGTTGTAATACTGTCAGTATCATGTAGCCGTAATGAACTAGTTGTAATACTGTCAGTATCATGTAGCCGTAATGAACTAGTTGTAATACTGTCAGTATCATGTAGTAATAATGAAGTCAAATATATGTGATAACGTCAGTATGATGCAATGAACTAGTTGTAATACAGTCAGTATCATGTAGTCGTAATGAACTAGTTGTAATACTGTCAGTATCATGTAGTAATAATGAAGTCAGTTATGTGTAATAACGTCAGTATGATGTAGGTTTATTCAACTACCATGCAATCATCAATAATAACATGGATAAATATTCATTAATCATTGGAAAAATACTTGAAGCCTGTTTCCATGTGACGTGACTGAAATAGTGTTGGATGAAAAACCCTTAATTAATTAAACGATTTGTTTTGCATGTATATGTTTAGTTTCCAAACTAGTGATCATGATTTTTTTGACACCTTAACCATGCTTGTCGGTTCGACCAAACTTGTAAATGGCCTATTTTGGACGTTCCAAACCCATTAAAGAAAGCCATTGAACGGCACCCACAGACTGGAAGATCTAACTTATAACGTGACCTAAACACGTCACAATGAAAGTCCATTTTGTCACAAAACACAAGGGTTATAACGTCAAGCCAGGACTTGTGAAGCCAAAAAAGACGTGCGCAACAGCATGGTAATGTAGATCTCGTCATGAGCGATTGATGGCTATGTACATGTACTTTTCAAACTGTAACTGTAATCTGGTCTATTCATTCATTTATTTTTTTATTCTCAGTCCGGGATATGTACAAACAATCTTTGCATGGGATCAACAATGTTAAACGATGACATGAAACACCCTCAGACGATCAGGTCAAGGGAGGGTCTACTTGCCGATGCCGAGGACTTCCTTGACCAGTATTACACGTCATTAAAAAGGTATTAAGTAGAAATGCCAGCAGAAGTAAAAAGATCCAAAGATATAACAAAATCACTTTAGTGAATCATTGAATAATCAGTTAAGTACCAACTATTGAAGAGCATTATTCGTACAGTGATACGTATACTTTCACGACATATGGCCATTATGAATATTCTTTTGAGAAACATGGTCACTCATCACAAATAAATTTTATAATATATGTTCTGAAAGATGACCACTCATCGCAAAATATCAAAGACGTATGTTACCGGAAACAGAACGAGCAGTTAAACAACAGTATACATTTATTTAAGGACTTGTATTTAAAATAATAATAAGAATTTTCTATCTCAAACAAATAAATATAAATTCAACCACCACCTCCCCAACCTATGAAAATACGAAAATATCGGCCGTTACCATCCGTGGTAATTATAGATTTCTACTTCATTCCTACCAGCCTCGACTCTGCAGGCCATATGATGAGATGGGCAGAAGTTAAAGAAGACATAGCGGCAACCGGGACATATGACCTGACCTTGGAAGAGCTAGCCTTCGGTGTGAAGACAGCATGGAGAAACGCGCCACGGTGTATTGGAAGAATCCAGTGGTCAAAACTGAAGGTCAGATGGTTGCCCGCAGCCGAAATATAGCACTAGAACAATCATGTATGTCTGAAAATGATTTGGTAGTCAAAGAACTAGAATGGCCATAACCAAAATCTGTCTCTGTTGAGGGAAAGCACTAGAACTGTCAGTACCAGCGTGTGCGTCTCTAGGAGTACCATTACTGGTGCCCCCCCCCCCCCCCCCCCCCCCCATGATATTGCTGGAATATTGCTAAAAGCGGCGAAAACCTCACTCACTCACTCACTCAAGGAGTAATTGGTAGAAGCAGAACCAATGTTTACCAACACCTATCTCTGTAGAAGAAATTGGTAGTAGTAAAGCAGTCTTACCAGAGTTTATTGCAGTTTTTCTCTGCTGCAGTTTTCCTAGGATGGGGGATCTATTGCTAAGATGTTTTTGTCTGTGTTTAAAGATTGGTACCATCAGTACAAATATTACCAGGATGTGTGTGGGGGGGAAGAATCGGTAGCACTAGGACAATCATTACCGGTACGTGTGTCCGTTGAAGGAATTGGTAGCACTAGGACAATCATTACAGATACGTGTGTCCGTTGAAGGAATTGGTAGCACCAGAACAATCATTACAGAGACGTGTTTCTGTTGAAGGAATTGGTAGCACTATAACAATCATTACAGAGACGTGTGTCCGTTGAAGGAATTGGTAGCACTAGAACAATCATTACAGAGACGTGTGTCCGTTGAAGGAATTGGTAGCACTAGGACAATCATTACCGGTACGTGTGTCCGTTGAAGGAATTGGTAGCACTAGAACAATCATTACAGAGACGTGTGTCCGTAAGAGGAATTGGTAGCACTAGGACAATCATTACAGAGACGTGTGTCTGTTGAAGGAATTGGTAGCACTAGGACAATCATTACAGAGACGTGTGTCCGTTGAAGGAATTGGTAGCACCAGAACAATCATTACAGAGACGTGTGTCCGTTGAAGGAATTGGTAGCACCAGAACAATCATTACAGAGACGTGTGTCCGTTGAAGGAATTGGTAGCACTAGGACAATCATTACAGAGACGTGTGTTCGTTGAAGGAATTGGTAGCACCAGAACAATCATTACAGAGACGTGTTTCTGTTGAAGGAATTGGTAGCACCAGAACAATCATTACAGAGACGTGTGTCCGTTGAAGGAATTGGTAGCACCAGAACAATCATTACAGAGACGTGTGTCCGTTGAAGGAATTGGTAGCACCAGAACAATCATTACAGAGACGTGTGTCTGTTGAAGGAATTGGTAGCACTATAACAATCATTACAGAGACGTGTGTCCGTTAAAGGAATTGGTAGCACCAGAACAATCATTACAGAGACGTGTGTCCGTTGAAGGAATTGGTAGCACCAGAACAATCATTACAGAGACGTGTGTCCGTTGAAGGAATTGGTAGCACCAGAACAATCATTACAGAGACGTGTGTCCGTTGAAGGAATTGGTAGCACCAGAACAATCATTACAGAGACGTGTGTCTGTTGAAGGAATTGGTAGCACTATAACAATCATTACAGAGACGTGTGTCCGTTAAAGGAATTGGTAGCACCAGAACAATCATTACAGAGACGTGTGTCCGTTGAAGGAATTGGTAGCACCAGAACAATCATTACAGAGACGTGTGTCCGTTGAAGGAATTGGTAGCACCAGAACAATCATTACAGAGACGTGTGTCCGTTGAAGGAATTGGTAGCACTAGAACAATCATTACTTGGACGTGTGTCCGTTGAAGGAATTCGTAGCACCAGAATTATCATTACTTGGACGTGTTCGTTGACGGAATTCGTAGCACCAGAACAATTATTGCCAGGATGTGTGTCCGTAGAAGGAATTGGTAGCACTAGGACAATCATTACAGAGACGTGTGTCCGTTGAAGGAATTGGTAGCACCAGAACAATCATTGCCAGAATGTGTGTCTGTAGAAGGAATTGGTAGCACTAGATAAATCATTAAAGAGACGTGTGTCCTTTGAAGGAATTGGTAGCACCAGAACAATCATTACAGAGACGTGTGTCTGTTGAAGGAATTGGTAGCACTAGATAAATCATTACACGCACGTGTGTGTGTAGAAGGAATTGGTAGCACTAGGACAATCATTACTTGGACGTGTGTCCGTTGAAGGAATTCGTAGCACCAGAATTATCATTACTTGGACGTGTTCGTTGACGGAATTCGTAGCACCAGAACAACTATTGCCAGGATGTGTGTCCGTAGAAGGAATTGGTAGCACTAGGACAATCATTACAGGGACGTGTGTGTGCAGAAGGAATTCGTAGCATCGGGACAATCATTGACAGGATGTGTGTCCATTGAAGGAATTCGTAGCACCAGAACAATCATTGCCAGGATGTGTGTCTGTATAAGGAATTGGTAGCACTAGAACTATCATTACCGGGACATTATTTGGCTTCATTGCAATGTTTTTCGTTATTTATTTGAGCTTTCCATCATTAGGTGTGTGTTACTGGTTCCAGGTGATGGATGCTCGTCACGTGTCCACGACTCGGGGGATGTTTGAAGCTATCTGTTCCCATCTTGAATACGGCACCAACAATGGTAACCTCAGGTAAAGATAGCGTCCGATATGATATTGTGATGATAGAAGTAAGTACTGAAGTGCGTATCTGTAACCGCGAGTATATAGCAAACATCATTAAGGTTGTGTTTACTCACACTGACTGGTCATATGCAATGGCCAATGTGGGTCCAGAAATAGAAAAGGCTTCTATTGAAAACCGTGAGGCGAAGCTATCACCGTCAACAATGACACTGTATGACGTCTTCATTGTCTCTATCTACATGTATACTACTGTTGTTAAACTATTGTTGCTCCTGCTTCTTCTACGACTCGGTCGTGGGTTCGAATCCCAGATTTTCACTTATCATTAATATTATTATTATTATTGATGCGAACCCCCGACCGCGCCACACCAAAACATGGAATTTGTTGTTACCCTGCCTGGTGCTCAGCCTTTAGGAAATAGAAAAGGACTGGTTGGCTCGGAGTTAGTGTACTGTGTCTGAGTGGGGTATTTATTTTAAACTGCGGCATCGTATGTCAGTGGGCTAGCACTTTAAATTGGCATCACTAGTACTACTTCTACTACTACTACTACTACTACTACTACTACTACTACTACTACTACCACTACTACTACTACGTCAACACCAACTACGACTGCCACCCAAACTTGTTCCAGGTCCACAATCACGGTGTTTGCCCCGCGTAGATCCAGGAGAGAGGACTTCCGGGTATGGAACAACCAGCTGATCCTATACGCCGGCTACCGTCAGCCTGACGGCAGCGTCATCGGCGACCCCGCCAACGTCGAGTTCACGGAGGTTTGTTTACATTCAAGTTGCACGCTGTAGATAACAGCTACGATAACAGAATCTTCTAACACAATAGGTCTAACAAAACCCCATCCATATACACCTCTCGTTATTCGTCTGGATGATGTGACGGGTTGGGGCTGATAATGACGCGTGCGTGCGTGCGTGCGTGCGTGCGTGCGTGCGTGTGCGTGTGTGGCAAGGTGTGTGTTTGTGTGTGGCAAGGTGTGTGTTTGTGTGTGAATATGCGTGTGTTTCGAGGTGCTGGTGCTGGTGCTGGTGCTGGTGCTGGTGGTTTTGGGTTGGGGGGATATATCTTTTCCGTCAGAACATCCAGCATATCCCTTTCAGCTATTTATTTTGGGGGTAAAGCCTTTTGAGAAATAATTTTGTTTTCGAATGGGTTATTCGTGTTAACCTGCCGCATGGTATCCCAGGGGTCTAGCACTAGAAAATCAGCATTCATCCGGTCTAGTACAAACCCACACCAACACACACGCACACGCACACGCACACGCTCACACACACACACACACACACGCACACACACACACATACACACACGTCGCTATATAAGTGCAATAATCTTGAACGCGACGTTAAATCCCGTTTCACCACACCTCACCTCCAGAATATCAAAGGCCCACCTTTAACAATGTCTCTCCTTCTTTTACCTATGATCAGATATGCGAGGCGCTGGGTTGGCGTGGAAAAGGCGGGGTGTTTGATGTCCTCCCACTCGTTCTGTCAGCCGCAGGCGGAGACCCAGAGGTGTTTGACATTCCCGAGAAGCTTGTCCTGGAGGTGGAGATGAAACACCCCAAGTTTGTACAACACTTTCTCATAGCAGACACAACCTATGAATAACAACTTCTTTACTTCTGTAAAAAGCGACGTTTCGGTATAGATATTTATACCGTTGTCAAGCAGGAATCTATACCGAAACGGCGCTTTTTACAGTATTAAAGAAGTTGTTATCCATAAAATGTGTCCGGGGGGAGCGTGCACTGGTTGTCCAGTCGTCTAAGGCGCCGCAATTCGCTGTGCAGAGTTGCGTCCCTTGGGCGCGCCAGAAACCTATGATTGTGGGTTCGAATCCCGGTTCGCCCCGATTATGTTTCTAGGTTTGTCAGCACAATACCCGTGCTCTTGGGTTTCACCGAAGTGGCAAATGTCTAAAACCTGCATCACTAGGGGTTTTCCTCACATGTCAAGCTGACACGCCGTGATGTAACTGGAATACAGTTAAAAGCGGCGTTAAACTCAACTCACTTACTCACTCACTGATATAGAGACCAGAAGCATGACTCCCTGAGTCAGAAAATATAAACTATATCTTTGCTTTGAGTAATTCGGGATAAATCACTGCTTTGGTTTGCTATTGGTGTTATTTCGTTCACTTGGATCATCCAGTGATGGCGATGACACGTTATATACATGATAACTCTTTTTGTAAATTGAAAGAAAGGCTTTTTTTACAATAAGAACTATACTACATATGGACTCTTCCACTTTCTAGATACGCGTGGTTTGAGGAGTTGGGCTTGAAGTGGTTCGTATTTCCGGGTGTGTCCAAGATGGTGCTCGACTGTGGCGGGCTGGAGTTTCCCGCTGTCCCTTTCAACGGCTGGTACCTGGGGACTGAGGTCGGGGCCAGAAATTTCTGCGATGCCGCAAGATACAATATGACTGAGGTAAGTGTACCGCTTGACACACCGTCACTTAGATAATTGATGAAGCAGGGGAACGTGTGACGCCGCAAGATACAATATGACTGAGGTAAGTGTACCGCTTGACACACTGTCACTCAGGTAGTTGATGAAGCAGGGGAACGTGTGACGCCGCAAGATACAATATGACTGAGGTAAGTGTACCGCTTGACACACCGTCACTCAGGTAGTTGATGAAGCAGGGGAACGTGTGACGCTGCAAGATACAATATGACTGAGGTAAGTGTACCGCTTGACACACCGTCACTCAGGTAGTTGATGAAGCAGGGGAACGCGTGACGCCGAAAGATACAATTTGCCCGAGTGATGTGTATCTTCGCTCAAGTATGTGTTTCTGTGACGCGATTTGTTACGACACTCGGGTAGGCGATGTAACACGGGGATGCCTTTAACGTTGCTAGATACAACGTCATTCAGGTAGTTGATGTACCACGGGGTTGTCTGTGACGGTGCTAAATACGACGTCATTCGGGTAGGTGATGTTCCACGGGGTCGTCTGTGACGCTGGTAAATACGACGTCATTCAGGTGGGTGATGTTCCACGGGGATATATGTGACGCTGCTAAATACGACGTCATTCAGGTGGGTGATGTTCCACGGGGTCGTCTGTGACGCTGCTAAATACGACGTCATTCAGGTGGGTGATGTTCAACGGGGTCGTTTGTCACGCTGCTAAATACGACGTCATTCAGGTGGGTGATGTTCCACGGGGTCGTCTGTGACGGTAGTAAATACGACGCCATTCAGGTAGGTGATGTACCACGGGGATATATGTGACGCTGCTAAATACGACGTCATTCAGGTAGGTGATGTACCACGGGGATATATGTGACGCTGCTAAATACGACGTCATTCAGGTAGGTGATGTACCACGGGGATATATGTGACGCTGCTAAATACGACATCATTCAGGTAGGTGATGTTCCACGGGGTCGTCTGTGACGGTGCCAAATACGACGTCATTCAGGTAGGTGATGTATCACGGGGTCGTCTGTGACGGTGCTAAATACGACGTCATTCGGGTAGGTGATGTACCACGGGGATATATGTGACGCTGCTAAATACGACATCATTCAGGTGGGTGATGTTCCACAGTGACGTCTATAACCCCGTTAGATACAACGTCAGTCTTGTAAGTTGGTAGAAGCAAATGAAATTAACAATGACAGAGTAATGTCTTTATGCCTTGTGCTCGTTGCATAATTATCTAAAATAAATGCGGGGTGAATGTGTCACATGTTATATACTTTTACATTTCGCCTATTATTTTTCAGAAAGTTGCGATTAAGATGGGTCTAAACACTGAGAATACCTCCTCACTGTGGCGTGACCGAGCCCTAGTGGAGGTCAACATTGCGGTACTGCACAGCTTCCAAGTACGTGTGATGTTAAGAGCTCAAAACCCTTGATGGTAATATCGTTAACAACCGACAATGGCAATACAATGCTTCTCATCTGCATATAATTAGTTATTCTGCATAATAATTAATTAATTGGATGAGCATGATCGCAGGATTTCAACATTCACATTTTACTGTACCACTAAAAGTACATGAATGTGCAATAGATCATTTCTATTAAGTATTGTTCAATCATGATTTATATGTAATTATTTCTATTTACCCTGACTCGTCAGTTGAAATTAATTCCAAACACACTGATGATGTTCCATACCTAAGATTATTAGATTATTGTATAAACTCGAGATTGAACGCACTGGTTTTGGGGTGAATGCGTCTATCAGTAACTATTGGGCGTGTAGTATATTAGATATACATCCGCATCCTCCCTCTGAGTAATAGAATTCCACTGACAATAACCACGTGCACATGTACAGATTTAACATCAGTAACGATACAGTCAAATGAGAAATATTACTCATACCAGGATACGCAAAAATCCGCTTCCCCGTGGCTTAAGTGATAAACGGCTACGGCACGAGTAATTTAAGCCTTCCCGTCAACATCAAGCTTATATTATACGCCTTGAAATAACAAAAATATGCAAGGCGTGGTTAATCCTAACTCAAATACCTGACGCCTTTATACAAACGTACATGTCTAGATTGTTGCTATTACGTCGTTGATGATGTCGCCAATATTTCGCCACAGTCGGTTGGTGCGACGATTGTTGACCACCACACCGCGTCCGAGTCCTTCATCCAGCATCTCCATAACGAGCAGCGCCAGCGTGGAGGGTGTCCCGCTGACTGGGTGTGGGTCGTTCCCCCGATGAGCGGGAGTCAGACGGAGGTGTTTCACCAGGAGATGACGGTCTACAAGCTCAAGCCTTCTTATGAGTACCAGGTAGTGATTCGTGTTACAGTCAAATGCATACCTCTTACTGTAAGTTGCGAGTGTCAGCTGCGTGGGTTCGAATCCGACATTCATTGTGTTTCCTTGGTTTGTCCGCGCCATATCTGTCGGGTATATGTTAGAGTCTGTGAGTCTTTGAGTTTCCCCACCATTTCCGTTCGTCTCTTTTCGGAGATATGTATTTCCGAAATCTTTATGATTTTATTGTACTGTCCATATGAGTGAGTGAATATGGCTTTACGCCGCTTTTAGTAATATTCCAGCAACATCATGGCGGGGGACACCAGAGATTGGCTTCACACATTGTACTCATGTGGGGAATCGAACCAGAACATTCGGCGTGATGAGCGAATGTTTTAACCACTAGGCTACACAACCGCAACCTGTCGAAATGAAAAACGAAGAGGGTTGGTGTGCATGTCAGTACACTTAGCGCATATGTTATACTAGATACAGTATATATTATCTGTAGAGGCATATGAGGAAATCATTCACAATGTTAACATTTTCGCAACGTATAATTGATAGTATTTAAATTTATTTAATTCGTCAAATACATATGTTACAACGTTTGTCTGTATCAATGTTAATGTGCTATAAATTTCGCAAATTGATCAAAACTTGTGTGTGTACCCGTCAAGTTCCGGGTTAGAATAGGTCTTAAGCAAAAATGTTTGTCGTAAGAGGCGACTAACGGGAACGGGTGGTCAGGCTCGCTGACTTGGTTCATGCATGTCATCGTATCCCAGTTGTGTAGTTCGATGCTCATGATGTCAATCACTGGAATGTCTGGTCCAGACTCGATTATTCGCAGTGTGTGTGTGTGCATCTCTCTGTATGTGCGTGCGTGCGTGTGTTAGTGTATGTGTCTGTGTGTCTTTGTGTGTGTGATAGTGTGTGTGTGTCTGTGGCTCTGTGTGCGTGCGTGCGTGCGTGCGTGTGTGCGTGCGTGCGTGCGTGCGTGTGTGTCCAATATACCCGTGTCCAGTGACCATCAAAGTTTGTATCCAGGAGGACGCTTGGACAGCCCATGTCTGGAAGAACAAGGACCTACAACAAAGGTACATGGAGGCGCGACTCAAAAGGTGGGTGTGTCGTAGTCTTCAGACATGTTAAACATGACATGGTGTCACCAGAGTACTCCGGTAACCAAATGCTAGCAAAAGGCAGGTCGTTTAACCTATGTCATCATAAACACATTACGTCACAATTACAAAATTTAAAGTCCCACGTTGCCATTGAGTGCAATTTCTGAAGCACTTGTAAAAAGTTTTATTTGTTTCTGTTATAGCACTATGTGTGGTCACCAGTAATAATTAAGTCTGTCCAATCTGTCCACAGACTGACCCAGTCTCAGGCCAAGGCAGTGGCCAGCCACATTAACTGTGTCATCGTGTTCGCCACAGAGACCGGCAGATCAGAACGATTCGCTAGGCGGTTGTGTCAGACATTCAAGCGTGCGTTTACTACCAGGGTAAGATTATTGTGTCAGGGCGACAGACGGTTGTGTCAGACATTCAAGCGTGCGTTAACTACCAGGGTAAAATTATGGTGTCAGGGCGCTAGGCGGTTGTGTCAGACATTCAAGCCTGCCTTTACTACCAGGGTAAAATTATGGTGTCAGGGCGACAGACGGTTGTGTCAGACATTCAAGCCTGCCTTTACTACCAGGGTAAAATTATGGTGTCAGGGCGACAGACGGTTGTGTCAGACATTCAAGCCTGCCTTTACTACCAGGGTAAAATTATGGTGTCAGGGCGACAGACGGTTGTGTCAGACATTCAAGCGTGACTTTACTACCAGGGTAAAATTATGGTGTCAGGGCGACAGGCGGTTGTGTCAGAAATTCAAGCCTGCCTTTACTACCAGGGTAAGATTATGGTGTCAGGACGCCAGGCGCTTGAGTCAGACATTCTTGGAAACGTACGTTTAACAACGGGGAAAGATTTAGTGTTAGGGCGCTAGACTGTGGTCTGAAATGCCCAGCGTACAGTTTCGACGGACATGCAAGATGTCCTGAAAAATATGTTGTGAAGAATTATTAATCTAAATGGTGGGTCATTCAGGGGGTCTCTCGCGTGGTCAAACTTTGTGACCAACTGACAGGACGATGAGTGCCTGACTACGAACGTCCCTTAATTTTGCAAACAAAACCGTCGTCTCCGTCGTTCCCCCACAGGTCGTGTGCATGGAGGACATTGACCTGACCGAGCTGCAGCAGCAGGACCTCATCCTCGTCGTCACCAGCACCTTCGGCAACGGCGACGGCCCGGAGAATGGCGAGGTGAGTATTGTTGATTTAAAAAACCTTTATCTTGAAATGAAAGACAAAAGGAAACGGAAAAGGAAGACTTCCGGTGGCGCTGCGAATGTAACAGGACGTGTTTGACATCGCTCCTAACAAATCTGCTGAAATCTAAGTGAAAATGGGCCCATCTACAAGAAATAATCCTCGTTCTAATCGTGACAGATTAATCACTCGTGTGTAGATTTTTTCGGTAACAACCGAACACAATGGTTAATCCTCTATTTCTCTCATAACAATTGTTATAAACCCAATTCAGAGGAAATTAAATATTGTCTTAAATATTATAAAATATTGTTAATGAAAAACAAGGGCCAAAGGAACTGTCAGCAGGATTGATCAGGCAAGATTCTATACTAACTCAGGCAACTGATCAGCTGATTATTGCTAGGTAAATGTTTTCAAATCCATCAATGGATTGTAATATTTTTGAACGAATTTTCCTCTTTAAAACAAATTTTACAGTGAATAATTTAATATGTAAAATGATAATTTCATGTCATCTTTATTTCTTTTCTTTTTTGTTCCTGAACATATGTGTTTTTCTTATATAAAACAAATAAACTTATTAGTAGACAATTCTTCTTTTGAACATAATATTTAACATCATAATACCAAAAATGTTACTAAATGAGTTATCTAATTTCCCCATATTTGTGAATGACAAGAAACAATGTGAATTTGACAAGCACAATACTTTATTTTTTTATTTTTTATTCTCTTTATCTTCATGAAAACAAGACTCATAATAAATATATATTTTGGTGAAAAGTATTAAAATTAACATTAGTCATTGCTGATGTTAAGAAATGAGGTGTATGGTAATATGTTATAAGACCACCACTTGTTGGTCATTTCTTCATCACCCATAAATTTGAGTTTTTCTTTACTTACCATGTTCTGAAAATTTACACATTACACATGAGAATAATTTAAGGTCTCTGATTAAAATAGCGACACAGCTATCCACTCTCAGGCAGCAAATTAGATTATGTGAAAAAAATAAACCACTGTAAACCTTGTAATGGGAGAATAATACATAAAAAATACATTTCTTATTTTGTCATATGTCCAGTTTATCATCCCAAGAAATGTTAAATAATTATCATTAAAATTAAGCTAGCTATGCATATTGGGGCTCTTTATCTGTTATGGTAATATAACAATTGCATTATTAAAGAAGTGTTTATTCAGTAAACATGGTATATATTAAATCTTTGGTTTAAAGAATATACTTGAGACAAACATAATTCTACATGTCTTTAATCCTCTGTATTGTCTGTTAATTCTGAAAATAATTAACTGTTATATTGAGTTTCTACCTAAAGAATAATAATATGAAATTAATTTTGAGATTATTTCATCCTATCTAAAATACCAAATATATTTTAAGATGCATAAATGTAAATCATTATTGAAAAAGAAAAGAATATTGTTTTTGAAAAAAATACCTAACAAGGTTGATTGGTGCCCACCCTTTATCTTCATCATTTTGTCTGCTCCCTATAAGAAATCAAAATAGTTAAGAAAAATATAAATACAGAAATTACCTTATTGAGTTTACAGAGATCTTGGTATGACTTAATACATTCAAGTTTAAACATGGTAATGGGGTTTTTGAGGGGGTTAAAAAAATGAGTTTCTTAATTGTCCTGAGATGTATGTTTAAATAAATTAATAATATTAATCTGGATAAACTCCACCTGTTGAAAGGGGAAACAACTGCTGTGGTTGGAAAACATCTTGGTCGTGAGATGTTCGGTCCGACAAAGTTGATCGTTTCCTGCAGTAAATTTGAGTATTGCTTTAGATCCAAATTATTTGAGTGTTTATTTTCCTAAAATATTGAATTTAAGTCTCGATTATTTTAATATAACTTTGAAATATGTTTTTGATCGATCGGCTCCAGATCAACACTTCGTTATAACGTGACATTTCTTATGTGGTTGATGGTTATTTTTTTTTAAATACAAAAAACAATATGGTTTGTTTCACTATTTCATCAGTATTTTTACATGAATTAATTAACTGTTTCATTAGCTGTTTTATTAGTCTTGAAAACGCCCAGTAAAGAATGTACCGGAGTGGCTCACCTGGTCCCGTAATATCGAAGCGGTGTCTCGCTTGGGTTACCGTCTTCCCATTCTGCAACTGGATCTCGTACATTGGGAAGCCGAAATTCTCTGATATATTTCCACATATCACACTTCTTCCTCCCCCACCACCCCCGACAAATTTTCTCTCGGTCACCAACTTTCTGAGAATCCCCGATCCGAAAATAGTTCCGTCAATTATTTTTATCCAGCCCATCAAAATGCGATGACAGCCAATCAGATTGGGTGATTAAAAATAAACCACTGCGAATAAACCACTGCTGGCGATTGAAGATCAAGCCCTGTTATGGGAGAAACCCGGTGCACAGACCATGCATTTTGCCGCGATACACAGGTTACCCCGTATGGCTAATACATCGCAATCAGCTGACAGGCCCAAACCGATTGTTATGAAGTTTGTTTTGATAGCTGATAGACAAATGGTGCGTGAGGCAAGTTTTAAGATGTCAGCTTTATTAAGCAGAAAGAAGGTCTCCATTCGCACAGACCTGCCAGTTGTGTTAAAAAAACAGAAACGCGGCCTTGCCAATAGGGCGTATGAAATCAGACAGCCCCATCGCTACCAGACCCGGACCCTGGAACGGGGGATAGTATTGACACTACAGTACAGAAGAAATTCAAGTGCAGAGTGGATCAGCATTGGACCAGATGATACGGTGCATTGACTAGTTTTACAGGGCCATTCAGAACCATGGGTGTGTTTACACATGTGTTAACACTAGTAACGGTTTGGACAATACGTGTTTGCTTAAGATAGACTGAGCGTTCAAGGACTGTATGTCCACATTTTCTTCATTGGAAAAGGACCTGTTATTTTCCAGTTTTATTTTCTGGACGCATAGCGACCTCATGTTATCTGCCAAAAGTGTGAGGTGGCTGGTGTGTAAAATAACAGGTAGTTGTGATTTGTATTTTTCATGGAATTTCATGGAATAAGGATTATACAGGAATTCCTACTGGCAAGTGGTTTATTACTTTTTATTCTTCCTTAGATGTTAGATATAAAGGATTTTTTTACATATAAATATCGTCTCAAATGCTTCTTTTGTTAGAATTTGATTTCGCCCTCCCAGATATTGAATTTACAGTGATAATTAATGTATTGTTGGACTATTAACTAGGATTTATTACTTTTTATTTTAGCAAGAATAACATTTGATCGCATTATTTTACGATTTTAAAACCTGAACGAGTTCTTCTGCTAAAAGCACTGCTAAAATTTGTAGACCTACCCACGTGGACCACCCAAATATAGAACATCACGTGATGAACACGTGACTTTTTATTTACGCTTTAATTCATTCATGTGAACTATCGTAAGGTGTATGAACATCATTTCTAATATAGTTCCATAGAATTAAGTCCTCGGCAAGGATATAGTGATAGTTTCGAAGAAGCGAATGAAATCCTTATTTATCCACGGACAATTGGGGCACGTTGGAACATGATAAATAGCGGTGTTTGACTTGGTGTGGACAGAGACCATATAATATATGGTCTCTGGTGTGGAGTAGAAAGTATCTTACTATAAATAGACGCACGTGATTAATCATCACTAGCATGTGTACCTTTTTACTGTCTGGTTTCAACTTTTCTTTTATTTGATGAGTGCAACTCTCAACAAAGACATTATGATAGATCTAAACATTATATACATGTATGGTTAGTAAGGTTATGGAGCCAGCTACAGTGTTATATTGGTCCCGGGCAATTTTGCACTAATGAGTGTTAGAGATATCCAGTCACCAAGTAGATTTGATGGAATTAGATCAAGATATCTGTTTATCACGACACTGCAAACATACGTGACTTATATAGAGAATTTACCTGGTCGTGTAGATTTATTTTATGATGGGGAAAGGTACCTGTCTACCAATATTTATACTTCCAAATTTGACTTGGATAATTGTTTAGACAAACTTTCAAATTGACTTGGTATCGAATTTAGCTAGGATTTTGAACAAGTCTTTGAAGGTTTACATTATTAACTTTAGGGGAGAAAGGAGACTACATCCTTTGAGGTTAATGCTATGCCTTTTCAATTTGGTTCCATGAGGCATGTGGGTACCTTTAAATATTTATGAAAATGTATGGGTTTTGTTTGAGTGTGAGAAACGCTATATGATGGAAAATCGGTTAAGTCATTTTCATGTTTATATTGTACATTTTCTTGATGTCAAATTTGAATTTTATGAATACAATGTGTACCTTTTCACTTTTATCTCTCCCTTAGGGAAATGCATTAGAAACATCCAAATATATGACTATGAAGGAAAAAGTTAAAGTTATATCTTTTAATTGTAGAGGCCTAAATAATACATTAAAGAGGAAAAAGGTATTTAGGTTCTTGCGAAAGCGTAAAGCACAAATATATTGTCTGCAAGGAGTACACTTTACCGCAGAGCAGGAACAATTAATAAAGCAGCAATGGGGATACAGAGAATGTTACTTTAGTCCTTATAAAAGTAAAGCAAGAGGCACAGCTATCTTATTTAATGATAATTTTTAATTTTAAAAGTAATCAAAGATGATGCAGAAGGAAATGTTTTTGAACTAAATATTAGGATACAAGACATTGTTTATACTATTGTTGATATATATGGCCCGAATCAAGATAAGCCTGAATGTTATGCAAAACTAAGAGATGTTATTACAGAACTAGATGGAAATAAACTTATTTTGTGTGGAGACTGGAATTTGGCGATGAATATGAATATGGATACGTTTAATTATAAGCATTTAAACAATCCCAAAGGAAGGAATGAGGTATTAGGTATTATGGAAACTTTTGATTTGAAAGATGTTTGGCGAGATTCAAATCCGTTTGACAGGCGTTTCACCTGGCGACAGCCTAACCCTATTAAG